AATAATGTGGACAAATGATATTGATTATTTATTAATATTTCATAAAGAAATTGCTAACAAGACAGAATAGAACTTGCTTTTCTGTGTATGGACACCGAAAACCGAGTTTTTTTAAAAGTTAAAAGTGAAACTGGATAATGACAGGTAGTTTTAACACACGCAAAGTACGTTCACAGATGGATTCCCTTAAACAAATACTGCATCTACAATACCTGAGCAGGTCCATCGGGAAGGAACAAATACGCCCCACTYCTGTCACCATAGGACTTAGTCCCATATGTAATAAACCCAATGTTGATATTAATTCGTGAGTTATCAGCCTTGTCAGTCATACTCTGTAAATAATAAAAACAATTTTAGCTAAAAAAATACTTCTCATTAGATTATACAATGCTCCTATCAACTGCTCACATGCTTTTCATGAATTTGCAAACACATGTAACTGTTCACAAAATAATACAATGCTCAAGTTTCAAGACGAAGCTGGGGTAAATAAGTGAAAGGTTTATTTTACTGTTTTCATTTAAGTCCATTTGAACTAGCTTAAGTTCATACAATAAAGTGTTTTTAATGGAATGAAGCTATTGCATCAGGATGAAAGAAAAGATGGAAAAAGGAAGGAAAGAAGGGAGAAGAACTTTTCTCAGCTAAAATCTTATGGAATATCCCTTCCCTTATGGTATTAGGATGATGGCTTCACCTATTGATTGGAAGTCATGCCTTCTAAGAGGCAAGGGGAATAAAACCCTAAGAATTSTAATAGGTGTCTCATTTGTTTTTACTGGAGATGGTAGCTTTTAGGCAAGCACAAGAAATTTAGGTTATACAAAAGTGCTTTGTACTTTCACAATTTACCTTAATTAGTCCATTATTGCTGTCAAATTCTGCCATGATGTCTTCATTTTGCATAGTTATTGTCTCTGAACCTCTCTTTTTAGTATTGAAAGTAAACTTATCATTTGGCTTTTGTGATCCTTGTTCATTTGTGTATGCCGTTACTTGTGCTGTCATGTGACTATCGCTGTCTGTTGATGACTCTTGTATGTGATACACGGATAGACCAAGTGATGATGTATGGRCGACGAACAAGAGCTGTAAAACAAAAAACAAACTTGTAAACATGCAAAACTGAAGATTTGAAAATCACATTCAATTCTTTAATTCAGATCAGATTCTAGCAAAAATATAGAGTAGGTTGACTAAAACGTTTTATTATATTTGTGAAACACTTTATAAGTGATTGCACTTAAATTGTTATTGAAAGTTCTAAAACGACAGAAGACAAAGGGTTTTGTGCTTAATTTTCCAAATTTAGCTTSAAAACTATATTTCAAAGAATATAAAAATGAATGTGTTTGTATTTTACCTCAAACTTAGAAGATGAGAACCTATTTCCACTTTCAAAAACTGGATTAGCTTGACTTGGAACAATTTTCCCTTCACTATCAGTMACCTTGCAAAATAATAATTACTTGTAATTAAACGCGGAGTGTGGTGATCCAAAAGACCTCAAATCAATGAAAATACATGTTTTGATAAACTTACCGTCACCAAAGGACYTGAGACATAAACACTAACAACCTCTGTACGTGGCTTGGACAGTGGATTGTAAAACACAACACTCCTGAAATAACATTATGTGTAGGATTTAAACATTGCATTTCACTTGTACATTAAGTAGAATTCCCTTTGGACCTCCAAAAAAAAGTACTAGCAAAAAGCTTGGCCAAGAAATAAGTGAAGGTAGAGAGTCCCTACCTTGCTTTATGTAATATTAATATAAAATATGAGCAGGAGACCTTTATGTGCATTTATTATAATAAATTTTATTACATTGTTGAAATACTAGATTATGTCATTGTGGTTGGAAGATATGCAAGACAACTTTGATTAGTACCCAAACATGTGGAAAAGGAGCGTTTGGTAGAGGAGTCCACAGTGTATTAGATTGTCTGAGATTAACTTGATTCAAGCCTAGTGTTTCAACTGTATYATTGTTTCAACTATTTTGTTTAAAGATTTTATGTAATTCACTATTGTAATCAAAGAGTTAATCATAAAAATTGCTCTCTTAAACTGCATAATATATTCTGACCTTGGTGTTGATGATACAATTATCAATTTCTTTTGAGGCATAGAATCCTGATTCAAGCGTTCTTCACCCTGTCAAATAAACAACATTGAGCTAACAACAACTAAACATTAAACACCCAAAACAAATTTTGAACTTACTGGCTCCAGCACAGGTGCATCAGCCTTGTTCCTTTGCAGCAGAAATTTTGCTGAATCACTCATTACTTCTTGTGTATGTTTTAAAGATTCATGAAGCCTTGGTGGGAATTGGGAATAATAAAATACATTATATGACATAAACTTCAGTGAAATATGTGTACTAGATCATGTAAAGAAGTGATATCTTCAAGTGWGAGAATGACAAAGATACATGTAAATGTATGCATAGTAAATTAATTATTGGAATTTATCACAGAACATAACATGGGTCCTTGGAGAAAGTTATTTTATCTTAGTTTCAATTTTAGTCATTACCTTGTTCCATAGTCAACAACGACAAAATCCTTAGCAGTCCCTGTGATTSCATCGTGATGTTGAAATAGTCCCATGTTGCGTCTGGCTTTGGACAGCAGTTTATAYAAACTATCGCCAGGGAAACCAGCTGATCCTCCCCTTTTTGCATGGGATTGAGCTAGGTAAAAGAGGATCTCTGCACCCCTAATTTGAAATAAAAATAAAACAGTTATAAAGCTAAGACTTGATGTTGTCATACATTATTCAACTTATACTTAATGTATAGATATATAAATATAGAATTGTATGAGGAAGTAGCTGATCCCATTAAAGAGTGCTCAATATATATTTATATATTTATATATATCTAGATTATAGGAATGTTTATCATTAAATACTGTCTGATGAGTGCGTAGCACGAAACTCGGAGTAACAGCAAAATCTTGCCTCTTTGATATTATATATATATAAATATAGATAAATRTAAGGGATTACATGTAGATCAGCCTTTAGAGAATTACCTAGTATGGCACGTAGCCACCTGCTTACTATGTAAGGTTGATCATTTTAAACTGATATGAAACTCAATGACTGGCTTACCGATGATGTGATTCCATTACTCTGTCTAAATTCTTGTAAAAAGGTCTTGATGTATAGTATCCACTCCAATAGTGATCATCTCGGTCAGAATAAGTAAAGAAGTCACCACTCAATGTTATAGTCTCAGATGGTTTGTGTCCTGCTTCAGTTCCTAAATGAAAAAACCCAGAAGTTTTACTTCCTAGATCTATGAAATTCAAACAACCTCAATTTATTTTGACCACATAAAATTTAGTACAATATTGTACTTTGGAAAACAACACGATTCTAATTAAAAGGTGTTGACATCAAATCCTACCTGTTCTTGAGTATACTGCATTAAAGTAATCTGACAAAGTTCCAAATTTGGCCTACAAGATATAAATAAAACATAATTTTCTAAAACAGTACTAGTATAGCGGTTTTATGCTGTGCCCTGCTTTTATACAACAGAGTTTCTTTCTTTCAAATACTTACCAGACAGAGGCACATTTGTAATACATTATTTTAGAAATGAAATCAAGCCCTACTGTATCACTGGATATGACTCACCTCAGTTTTTAATTCACTATGTGAGTTGATATAATCAAAGAGTTTCTGAAATGAAAGTTTGACAAAACTAAGATACACTACAGTAAGTTAGAATATACARGCACAATGTACAACATAATCGGAATTTAATTGCATGTGGAAACAAGATGCTTCATGCTTTTATTGCATTTTAGATATTTTCACGTATAACACTCCTGTTGAAAAATTAAATATCATCTAAAGGTATTGAATTTAACAGCTTTTGATATTGAAAAAGCAAAATACAATGTAATCTCATAGTCAATCATCACTGTCAACAGACTAAATTAAGTACTACTGCTCCTACAAAATGCTTGGTCCCATCCAGTCCAGGATCCATTGTCATTATATGTTAAGGATGATACACGATTACTCTTAACTTTGTAAAAAGCTAATCCAAATACTTGATCAGTTACCTGGTAGTTTGTGAATTGTGCATGTGTCTCAAATGTTTTTTCATATCGGAAGTCATCACCAAGAGGGATTAACACCACATTKGTCTTGTATAAAGATGCCTTCTTTTTGTACTGATCAACCAGCGTTCTTGCCCTGATTCATCRATAGAATGATCAAGTTACACAAATGTTGATACTTCAGGGATTTCACTAGAKGCTGGTACCCAGCAAAACTCTTTATGTCTATTTTGACCTTTCAGCCAGCTACATTTGTCAAACTAYGGTTGAATGCATGTGGCCACTTATGTTTTATATCCAGTTACKTTTTCAGAACAGCCACTTACTTCCAAATTAAATGAAAATTTTATACTTAATGAGAAACAAGGGAACCTGTATGTCTCATATTAACTGAGTTAAAAAACTGAAACATTCTTATATGATTCAAAAATATAATGCTATATTGTCCAAACTGTACAGTATAGCGGTACTCAATGTTTATCAAAAAACTCATTCTTATGTTAATGTGCCAACTATAATCAGAATGGTTTTTCACAAGTCATATAGTTCTAACAGCTAATCTTCTTCTGATTGGCACATGAATAACAAAAGGCTCACATCACATTGAGTATCGCTATATTGAAGTGAAATCATTACAACCATGAAAATAAAGATTATAAAACAAAAAGATAATATCTTACAAAAAATACAGAAAATACATCAAATTGAATTATATGATAATTTTATCAATTTTTTTGTATTTTTGTTCTTACTTGGTTTTAATTTT